ATTCACCTATACATTCTGTATCTAATCTTGACACCGGAAAATGCTAATCACCGCCCAAAAACATGGTTCCGTGTCAGAATTTTGAATTTAAATATCAAAACATGATAAAAATTACGTAAATATCGACTCAAAAACTATAATACGGGTCAAGATTACTCAGTTTTGCTATTGACCAATCGTATGGCTCGGTTCATGGAGCCATCTACAGTTATTCACAAATAATGTGCTGACACGTGTCCTACAATAAATACACTTTGGATACGTGTCAATACGTTCAGTGATCGATGGCTCCAAAAAAAACCATCCGATGACTCCATAGAATTTTGCAAGACTACTATACATTTATATATATATAAAAAAACTGTGCAATGGGATAGTTTGACAATTATCAATAAAGCATCTCAATGCTAACCTGTTTTTTATTGAAAAATGCTATAAGTACGTAATATTGTATATAAGGTGTACATAATAACAACAACAACAACAACAACAACAACAACAACAATAATAATAATAATAATAATAATAATAATAATAATAATAATAATAATAATAATAATAATTTACTGGGGGCTCATTATGATACCAAATAAACAATCAAAAGATGCTTGAGTAATCATCCAACTTAAAAAAAATTGGGAGTTAAAATGATGGCAAGAATCCTTTTGCTTTAAGGCTATATACTGTGTCTCTGACAGCATCTTCAACTGGAGTAAAACTTAAACCCAAATCAATCAGTCTCTTTGCAGCATCTTTGCAAGCCACCAGTCCCGGCTGCGTCTCGCCATCAAATCTGCAGTTGTTCAACTCTTGAGTAACATAAACAGAAATAGACTAATTGGACATAGACAAATAAATCATCAAGTCTAAACTAGTAATCTTACATTGCCGGTCGTACATTTTTTTTTTAAGCAAATATTCATACATTTGCCCTTTAAAATCAAAAGTCAGAACACAATTTACAATCAAAGTTGTGTAAAAGTTGAAGGAACATTTGTTTATCATAAAGAAATACTGAGTGGTAACTACTGTGAAAAACTAACTACAATGGTAGATATAGAAAAGTGAAAAGCCACAAGAGAACAGCCTGACCATGTCTTAAAACATAGTATTTTGTTAGTCAAAGGGACATTTAAAAATTATAAGGTGTTAATGTGCTATAAGCAAGAATAAAGTTGCTTCAGATATGCTCCAACAAGTTGAGCAGTAAAAGGAATTTATTCCAATTTGACATTGGAAATGGACCCTATATGCTATTGAAGGCACAGATAAAAATTAATTTGATTCTTGCACGAAAGTTAAAAGGGACATAATAAGATCCTCGCCCTAGTGGGCTAAAAAACCATGGAGATGCCAAAGTCGACTAGCAGAAAAACATTGAAATCTAAATATACTGAACACTTGAAAATCACAAAACGTTTTTTAAGTGCCCGGCAACTCATGAAGCACATGAATCAGTCTTCTCTTTATTTCACCTTTTCAGCAAAAAGAATGTTTATTATTGTGAAGAAAAATAAGAAACCATTTCATCTTGTCACGTACCTTCCAACTTGAAACATAATTCTTCTAAAATATTAGATGCAATCTTACTTGTTGAGTTTCTTGATGGGAGTCTTGTAGTAAATCCAATCTATAATCAAGTGAAGTTTCTGGAACTATATACATGATTTGTAATGAAATAACAGCACCTTCTAATCGTTAGCGTAGAAATTTATCTGTTTAAGTGGATAACAGAACCCATAGAGTTAAAGAGTCCTAATGCTACTTCTGCACTTATATAATTCAACATTCTCATTACCATGAAGTTTTCTTGTACTTTTAATAGTTCCGACTGAAACTCAATATCAACCTAGTAAATGACTTTTATTTTTTGTTGTTTTGTTTTTAAACTGGTAAAATTATTAACCTACACACATCTGCAGATCTGGTAAAATTTCTAAGAGGGTAGAAACAAAAGTAAAAGCACACCTGTGAACTGGGAATTGAGGAAATAGTTTTGACAGTTTCTCCGCAAAATCGCTGAACTGATAGATACCATTGGTGCAGAGATATCTACCCGAGGCATTAGGTGTCTCAAACAGCAACAGTTGTGCCTCGGCAACATCTTTGACGTGCACAGCCCCCAACCAATAGTACTCATGTGTGTCTCTCGACCCTTCCAGCAGATTTTTCAACACTGCACAGCTGGCATTCAATCCAGGCTGCAGGAGTTGGCCGAGAGACGTGGCAGGATTTATTGCCACCACATCCATCTTATTTTCCTTTGCGAATTCCCATGCAGCTTTCTCTGCCAAAGTTTTCGAAACAGGATACCATTTCTGTCACATTAACGATACCCGTACTCAGTATAATCTTAATAACTGTTGTTTCAGAGAACTGCACACAATTTAAGAAATCTTGCAGAATGACTAATCTACCCATATTTACAAGTAATTATTGTGTTATTTTCAGACATCAAAACACTAAGTTCAGAAACAAT